TAACCCAAAAAAAAGTCTACTAAATTCAGCAGGTGTAAATGAGAGAGAGAGAGAGAGAGAGAGAGAGGGAGGGAGGGAGGGAGGTGTCTTTTTCTTTTCTTCCAGCTATTTTTTAAAATCTCTTGTGATTTTCTGGATGATTTCTCCTTTTTAGACTGTTTGTGGTTGATGGCTGATTGGGCCATTCTTATTTTTGATTTTGTTGTTTGCCACTTATTCACAAACATCTGCTAATTTTTGGGAAGATTTTTCCCCCTTTGAGGAATCTGCAGCCAACAGGCTTCCATGACAATTGAAAGGTGGGAGGGGAATTTTGCTGTGATCTGTTTGTGGTTATGGGATGTATTCTGCATCAGTGGGGTGAGTAGACTGGGGCTTGGAGTGAATGTGGAGTCCATCCAACACGTTGCACTCATGGTCTTAAAATTACTTAATTTGGTTTTTCTGTGCTACCTAGGTTTGCATGCACTTACAGCATGCAATGGGCCAGATCCGGAAGAGCTTTCTCTTTGGCTCTGAAGAGATTATCACTAATTTCTGTGGCTGTGCGGGTTCTCACCTCTTCCTACCCTCACACACTGCCCTCATCTTGTTTGACTCTCTGTGCAGGGAGCTGTTACTGCAACAGGAGAATGTGGGTCCAAATAAGTATTTGTGTGTGTCATCCCACCACCATGTCCATGCTTTGCACAACCTTTAAAACAATCACGAGGTTCAGTTTCCCCTTCTGTGGAATGGGTTCCTAGCTGCTTTGAATTCAGACGGTAACTCTACTCCTCATGACCCTTCCCTCTGGGCTCAGCGGCAGGAGCTCCCACTGCAGAGTAGGACCTGGACGTGAGCAGAATCGGTGCTGGGCTGGATTGTTAGACCAAGCATCTGTGGTTCAAGTGCACCAACATCTCCACAAATTTCTGGCCTCCTGCAAGTCCCAGGAAGGCCGCACTCTCCCAGAGGCCTAACTAAACCAAATCAGCAGAAAAGCTCCTTGTCATGTGACAGATGCCACCAGATTTCATGATATGACTAGCTTATCTAAAGGGGCGCCTCCCCAGGCCCTAAGGCCCTCATGGGAGGTCCTTCCCAAAGAGCCCTCTCTGAATCAAATAAGGAGAAAGGCCTTCTCAGTGGAGGCACCATGAGTCTGCAACCAGCTCCCTAAGAAGGCTCACCTGGCACCTTCTCTCTATTCTTTTCAGCCAAGTGCAGACCTTTTCATTCACCCAGTATTTTAATTGTCAATATAATTGTAATGATGTTATGATATTATCTGGTGCTACTGGGTCTTTGAATGATTTTAACTGTGACTATTACATGGTTTTATTTTGGGGGTTTTCCTGGGCTTGATGCTGTGATTTTATTATTGGTTGATTTATACAATGCTTTATTATATATATATTGTCACTATTATACTTTGTGACCCACCCAGAGGGTCATTTCAGCTAAGGGGCGGTCTAGAAATCTAATAAATGAAAAAATATTGTAGGCTGACTCCACAGCTTGGTCATGGGGGAGCGTTGTGCCCAGTTCCTTCTCCATTAAAGCAGATTCATCATGCGAATGCTGTATGTTATTTTGCATCCTCTGTTAAACCATCTAGATTTTAGGCTACAGTTCTCTTTTGAAGTGTGGACTCTCTGCTATTCTTGTCTTGCATCGATTGGTATTCTGCTCTATGTTCAAGGACAGGCTGGACATGCACATGGTGGGCATGTCATGAGCAGACCCAGTTGGAGTGGGGGGTCAGACTAGATGGCCCGGGGGGGGGGGCTTTCTGACTTGCTCTGCTTCTCTGTTTCTATTCTTCTCTGCGTAGCTTGCTTGCATTCATTCCTCCTTCCTCCCCACTCCTCTTACTTTCTGACATCTTGCTTTTTGATATAACCTTCTGCCAGCCCCTTGTCTTGCAACATGAAATACCAAGATCAGTGGAATAATTAACTAGCAGGGTCCTTTCACAGTGTTCTCTTTCTCTCTCGGTCACACACAGAGCATTTGGTGCCTTAGACAGCAGTCACCAAACCAAGACATGGCACTTTTTGCCTTACCTCCTGCCCCTACCAAGCCTCACCGGCTTTTCACATACCATCTTGCACACGTTTAACCATCTCAAACTGAATAGAAACCGTGTTATGATTTAGAGCTGGTGCTATGAATCTCACCCTCCCTTTTCTAGTTCATTCCCCACCTTCCGTGTCCCAGTCACCCTGTCTTTCGTACTGTTGTTTCCTCCAAGTCTGCTTGTGTGGAATGGATGGCAGCTTCTGCTGGGGAACATGGGTCATAGTGTGTTAAAAGCCCACTCCCAAGAGCAAGCACACATGCGCGCGCACAGAGAGAACAGATTTGGGCATTTTGGAGATTTCAGCGAGGCAATGTCAGGGTAAACAAAGCCGCCACGCTGGATCTGCCCCAACGAAACTAGCTTTTCTGCCTTCGCCAGCATGATTCTGCCGGCTGCCTGGTGTAGCTCTTCCCCCACAAGGGGATTAAAGCCACGAGGACTGTTGGCACGTGGGAGGATGGAGAATTGGGAAGGCTAAAGTGGTGGTACATCAGAGATGACTTGATACCACATAGACACCGCCACTAAGTTAGGAATGTACGAAGCTGACTGGGAATGCTCCAGACGCATGGTCTTAGGACCAGCTGGCTGCCTACAAAGGTAGTGGACTACAACCCCCATCTCAAGCTTTTCGGAGGATTTGCTCAGCCCTAGCTTGGAATATCAGTGAGGAGTTAATCCATGGAATTTCCCAGGCAGTGTTTTGTGCTCCAGAACAGCCCTTTGTCCTGCCCACCAAAATAAATTAAGGTTATAGTCCTCATGGTGCTGAACCTAAACACTTTGGAAGCCATGCAGATTCTCTACCCACAAACCTGGTTGCTTTCTCTCTTTCAGCCCTGAAGCTGGAAGACGTCAAAGTCAGACGCTTCCATACAACTGTCTCAGTTTCCACCCCTCTTCTCTGTTGTCCAGGCTTGTAAAAACCATAAATAGGCCTGAGAATTTGTTCAGGGTCAGACATCCCAGATCCTTAGGTCTTTCTAGGGAAGACTTGCAAAAGCAAAAATTTCCACATCCTGTCTCCATAAAGATGCAAAAAAGACACACCCTACAGTGAGTTCCCTGGTAAGCCATACTCAGCCCCTTATCAAGTTTCACAGGACTCACACACCCAGATGGAAGAAGGAAAAGGAGCTGTATTACCAGAAAAGTTTTCCCATAGAGACGTTTTCCCATGTTCTCCCCCCTCCCCACCGCACTTCTTGAACCTGAGCTATATGCAAAATTTAGCACTCTCGATGATCACTGATAAAACAAACAAGTAAATAAAATTAGGACTAAATCCCAAAGCAGACTTTCTGGGGAATGCTCTTCACTATCTATTGTTGCTATCATTTCTGATGTTTCTGTCCTATCCATTCAAGTCAGCAAAGCTTCCCCTTATCTTTTAGCCTCCCAACAACCTGATAGAGTAGGCTGAACTGAGAAACAGGGTTATCCAGTGAACTTTATAGCAGGGAGAAATTTGATCCTGTGTCACTTCCAGCTCTGGACTCTAAAACTATTCGAAAATCCCTGAAAAAAATCAAAGCCTGCCTTTTCTCCTTAGTTTAATTGCTATGCAAGGGATTGTTTTCCAAGGAGAGTGCAGTCTATTCCACAGGTTGCACTAACCCAGGATGCCGATTAAGCTCAGAAAATAAAAATTGCGTTGGTCTGAGATGATCTGGGTTTTTAATGTGAAAGAATTTATCCTATTTGCAATGGTTGAGAGACAAAAATCATTGGTGGCTTTTGCTTCCTAGGAAATCTAAATCCTAGCTGTTCTTGAATTTGCATGTCTAGCATAAATTAAAAGGTGCAGTTTTAATCCTCTGGTTCCAGGTCCCCGATATCTTAACTGCCACGCAATGTATCAAACTATTCTGAGACCTGAAGGGGATATTAGCGCCTAAACAAAATAGTTATGTTTTCCCTGGGCAATTTCACTTAGTTAACGTCTGACGGAGCTTATGGTTACAATTCTGAAATGCCTCTCCCTGGACAAAAGCCTTCTGCCCGGGACACTACTCGGGAGTAAAACATGAACCGGAATGGACTGCCTGTTTGTTTGTTTTCCCTGCCATCCCGCTCGTTTCCGCAAAGCCAAGTTGGGGCTAGTGACGGGTTTGCTCACTCGCCACACAGGGTGGGTGGGTCAGTCGGGTGCCCTGCACACGATGGCGCACGGTCCCGCACGCGCGCGCGCCCATCCCCGCATCCAAAGCACACGCTCCCTTCGCTCTGAACTTTTCGGCCAAAGGCTGCCCCGTCGGCGGAGAGAGCGCAGAGAGGCGCGCCCGAGCCGGCGGTGGGATCCCATCATCCGCGGCTGCGAACTCGAACGAGCGCTGTCCCGCCCTGTCAGGCCACGGGAGCGAGCCACGCCTCCGGCCGGCTGTTCCGCGTGGGCAACAGGAATGCGGGCTTCGCCAAACTGCAGCGGGCACGGGCGGGGGTGCCAGGACGCCCTTGCGAAGGGGCGGCACGCGCGGCGGGACAGGCCCCCCGCCCCTGGGCTCCGCCGGGAGGCGCGCGCGTCCCGGGAGCGCCGAGGCACGGGCGCGCTCCGTGCGGCGACTGCTCCGGCCCCCGGCGTCGCCCTGCCTCCGGGGAGGGCCCCGCCGCGCCACGGGCGGCTCGGCCCCCCGTCCTTTCCCCCAGGAGCTCGCCACCCGGCCGCCGGCGCGGATCGGGATCGCGTCCCCGCCCCGCCCGGTTCCTCTACCGGTTTCGCTTTCGCGCCTCTCCGCAAGCCACGTGGGGCCTTAGGCGGCGGGGACGGGAAGGAGGGGACGGTGACAGCAAAGGGGCCCCGATCCACCCCGCCCCGAGGCTCCCCGGCGCCGAAGCGCGGAGAGGCGCGGCCCCCACGTGGGAGCCGCGGGCGGAAGGCGAGGGCGAGGCGGGAGCCGGGGCCGCCGGCTCGGGGCCGCCGCCCCTGCGCGCTTACCCGTGTGCGCCCGCAGATGCGCCTTCAGGTGCGAGGACTTTCCGTAGACCTTGACGCAGCCTTGGAACGGGCACTGGTGCTTCTTGGCCGAGGCGGCGGCGGCGGCGCGTCTCACGGTGCCGGCGTCGCTCGGGGCTCTTCGGGGAGGCTCCGCCGCCTTCGGCAGCAGCGGGAAGCTGCTTCCCGGGTCGTCCGCGGCGGCCCGTGAGGAGGCGCTCTTGCTGTCGGACAGCCCTTCGCGGTCCTCCGCGGCGCCGGGGCGGGCGGAGGAGTCCGGGTGGATGACGGCCCCGCTGGAGATGAACACGAGGCACTCGGCGGCCAGGTAATCCAGGCTCGACATGGCGCGTCTCCGGGCGAGAGGAGGCAGCTGCCGCCTGCGCGCCTGTCCGGAGGGGCGATCCGAGCAGTTGCCGGCGCTCTCGCCGCGGCGCACGGAGGTGCTTGCGGGCCGGCTGCCTTGCCCTGGCGCAACGTGGGGATGGGACATGCCTGCCCGGTCTCCGCCCCGCGAGGGCGCGTCAGGTTCGGAGGCGGCGGAGGGCAGCAAGGCAGTGGCCCTCCCACCCGCGAGTCTCCACCTCTTGATACGCGCGGGGGGAGCGGAGCAGGGGCGGCGGGCGGGAGGAGCGGGCGGAGTGCCCCGCGCCCACGAGCCTGGCGCTTTCCGCCAGCGCTGGCACGCCCTGCGGTCCCACCCGTGCGCTCAGCGGTGAGCCCCGCTGAATTCCGTGGGGCCCCCTCGCAGGAGCTGTTTCCCCGACGGCGCGACCCCGTGCGGATCGGTGGCACGCTTCGAATCCCACCTGCAGTAGTCTTTCCCTGGCGTGCCAGTAACCGCTGCTCCTCTTTCTTCCAGTTCCTTTTGCTGTTTTGTACGATGATGGTCAGCGGAATTTATCTATTTATCTATTAGATTCTTATCCAACTTTTTTAAAAGAGTGCGGATTTTCCTCCGGCATTCCCTTCCTGCTCCCAGTCTGGTCCCCAGAACAACAACCCTGTGAGGTGGGCTGGGCTTAGTGTCTGTGACTGGCCCAAAGTCACCCAGATGGCTCCATGGCTGAGCAGGGACTAGAATCCAGGTCACCTGAGACCCTGTCCCACACTCTTCACCACAACATCACACTAGTTCTCAGTATGGAATGATTCTTAAATTTTTTTAAATGTGATTTTAATATTTCTAGGTGAACTGCTTAGGCATTTGATTATATTTAGTGGAATCCATTGCTTGCAAATAAACTATTTTAAAAATGAGTATGCATAGGATTTGTTACTGAGTAAAAAATATACACAATTTTATAAAATATAAAAATATTATCCTGGATTCCAAGTGTGAAGAATCTCTTGCAGCCTGAAAGAGGAACTTGGTTTGCGGAAATTCTGCATAGGACTGCAAGCAAAAGAGCCGGCATACTAAATATACCAGCCTGTTCTTGTTGTTGTTTTTTGTTGCTAGTTGCGAAGTCGTGCCCCACCCATCCCGACCCCATGGACAACATTCCTGTCCTCCCCCATCCCTCAGAGTCCTCTCAAGCTCACACCCACTGCCCCAGTGACTCAGTCTAGCAAATATACCAGCCTAGTTTAGTTTAATAATTTTACTGTAAGCAACAAAGCTTTCAAGAGGCAGCAACAAAGACTTAGGCCCCTAAAAGCAGCTGGAATTCTCATCCAGGTAAAGAAGGAAACATAAAATAACAAGCAACGGCAGGATCATTAAGCCCATAGCAGAGAAAATCAGAACAGAGTACAAAGGTCTTTTGCTAGGCCAGCCGCCTCTGGTATGGCAAATGCAAGTCCAAATACATTGGACTGCAGCTCCCATCATCCTCAGCCATTTTAAGGATCTTTTTGTGCAACTCTTTAAAAAAAAAGATCTGCCGTTGTCTACCAACACATGGAAATCCTCTTCTGTCCCACAGAAGTGGGGCCAAAGATAGAACCTGTTTAATTTTTAAGGTTGGGGGGGGGTGAAGTACTGTCCCTGCACGAAACATGAATTCACCTGATTTCAGCCTGCAGACAGTTGCCTCCAACTCCTCTTCCCTGTAGGAAAGTTGGGAAAATTTAGTGCGATTAACCCAGCACAATGGGCAAATCAAACCTCAGTCTTCAAAGAAATGCACCTGGGAAGGGAGAACCATGCCAAGCACGGCCTGCTAATGAGTTTTCCTGGCTGGCGACAGGATGTTAGTAACGGGGCCCAGGTCTGGCCTGGCCCAGTTCTTCTGTGGTAAGAACACTCACAGGAATATTTTATTATCCCAGAGGAAAGAGAACCCCCTTCAAGCAGGGCGTCAGGAAGGGAGCGTCCCAGGAGGGTGCCCAGACCTTCTTGGGCAGGATGAGGCCCGCTGGCCTGCACTAGGCCAACTTTCCCTTGGTACATGCCCCTGACTACAACTCCCATCACAATGATGCCCGAATGCTCAGGAAGGCAAATAATTAGAATCAAAGAGAACAGTTTAGCAGTTCTCCCCACATTCTTCAATCTCAGGTTTGTCCGGAATTACGTTTTTTATACAGTGGGATCAATGCAAGATGTGCTTTTATGGCCCAGGAAGGTTTTCATCTGAAGCATTACAGAAGCTGACAGCCCAAGAAATGTGGACAAATACAGCTCACTCAAATTGTAGTGCCTATGCACACTTCCTGTGTGCCCTTCCAAAGAAGAGGTCCCCCAAAATCTGTGGGGTTTCTTTCTGAATTATGAGCATGCTTATGGTTGAACTGATAGTTTCTCCTTTTCAAAACACACAGCTTGCACTCTGCATTTGACAACAGCTGACCGACAGCAATAAAAACAATTTATCTCTTGTCTTTTTAGCAGTCGAGTTTATCTTGTTTCTTCATCTGCATCCTCCAAGGAATTCAAGGCCAGTTTGCACATCCCTTATGTAGCCAGAAAGCAAAACTCAGGAAGGCCTTTCTCTACCCAGAAGGCCCAAGAACCGCCGCCACGGGAAGCCAACCCGAGGGACCTCTGCTGCAGATTCTCAGAAACCAGGAAAATGTGTGCTCCTTTTGGAACGCTTGTGCGAATCACACTGCTAGTTCAGGCACTCTCCCCGCTCCCCCAGTGTTGTTGACGCTCCTTATTTTTTCAAATTTTAAATTTTTTTTTAAACGAAAAGAACCGACTGGTGATATGCATCCCCATGGCTGTGTACATTTCCAAGAATGCCTTCGAGCTGCAAACAAGCACCTGAGGGATCCTTGGAAAATACAGAAATGTTTGTAATGGATGTTGCACCCTGTGCAAAGCAAAACTGACAGGGCAGAGAATACCTTCCGGAGCTGAAGAGGCGATGCTTTGCCAGCACTGTTTGCGGGTGGAGAGGATTCCCCAGTGCTTTGCTTGTTTTGGTGTGGTGTGTGGTTTGTCAGGTCATGGCGTGGTTGCTTGGTGGTGGTGTTGGTATGAGTGGCCCGTGCATGTTTTCCTGGGGTTAATGCACTGGGCGTGTAGCGGGGGGTGTAGCTGGTGTTGTGTAGTTCTTGGTCTTCCTATGAAATGCGTGTTTTGTCCAGCTTTTGGGAGGCGAATGGGGGGTTTCACATTCATGGATCAGATCCCATCTCTGCCTCGTACTCAGTTTCTTGGCCATGTTACTCATCCTGGAGTTGGGTCTTTGGTAACTCAGGAGAACCACCTCTCTGCCTTTGACTTAGATTCTTGGGCAGCCAGCCATTTTGTGACAGTGCCCCGGAAGAGACCTTGCTCTTGTAGTCCTATGGAACAAGCATTTAATGTTTAAAGGGACAGGGCAGGTGGCTGCCAGAATGTCTCTGAGATGTGGCTATTGGACTTGGGTATGGGATTCTGGATGAGGCCACAGAGGGGTGGGGCAGAAAAGCTCTCCGTCGCATGGTACGTTCTGCAATTCTTGCAGCTGTTTGCGGGGACTCCTGCTCTGGCTGGTCTCACGGCCCTGTAGGCTTCCCTTTACCGTCCCAGCCTCCTAGAAGCTCCCAGGCATAGGATGACAAAGGGAAGGCCACAGAGCCAAGGGGAGAGCGTCCGCTGGAGTTGTCCGTCACGGAAGCTGGGTCCAGTCATTCATGGGGAGCAGGAAAGGATCCAGGCCACCGAAGGTCAGAGGAGAGAAGGGGCGGAGAGGGGTAGGGGAAAGAGAGGAAATGGGGGAAAGAAGAGAGGCATGCCAAAGAACGTTATCAGCACCCTGCGGAAGGGGGAAATGGGGGATAGACAGACAAGAGCTGCAAACCTGAATACATATCCCAGCCGTCCGTCCATGAGCAAAGCTAGCAGGGAGCAACAATTCCATTGCAAGCTGGGATGTCATTACAACTGAGCGTCGTTCGTTCTTCCTCAAAGGCAGGTCTTTTCGTGTGTGTGTTGGGGTGGGGGTTCCCTCTTTTCAGAGGGAGAAGAATGAGGTGTAAAATTTTAAAGGCAAGACAAATCGTAACAAAGCGACTTGGAATTCAACGGTGGTCCTGCTACTCCAGCTCTGGATTGTGATCACAGAATATCGAGGAATGCAGAGAAAGCAACACCCATGGGAAAACAAACAAACAAACAAACAAATGTAAATGAGCAGGCACCTTCTGTGCTGAACTACCTTATGATGGGCACCCCTGGTAGGCATCAATCTCTTATCCTCTGTGCATGTGTCAAATGCCTCCCCTAAAGCCTATTTATTAGATTTTTATCCCACTTTTTAAAAGGAATTCAGAGTGATCTACATCATTTTCTGCTTCCTGCTCTCCATCTTATCCCCACAAAAACAACCCTGTGAGGTAGGCTGGGCTGAGAGTCTGTAACTCTCTAGTTGGCTCCGGGGCTGAGTGAGGACTAGAACCCGAGTCCCGGACCCGTGCTCTTAACCAGTACACCACGCTAGCTCTCTATCCCAAAGTTACTCTGGGCAATTCCATTTTTCTGGTACCTGGCCTGGCTAAATAGCACCTTATTTATTGGGACAGTCCGACCCAGTTTAACCCCTGCCCCTGTTTCGTCCAGAGATGGCCTTTAGGCGGAGGGCAGGTCAGTCTCTGGGAATGCCCAGCCATTCAGTCCCATGGATGTCCAGCTCAACGCGTCCCGTCGAGATCATGGGGGGCCAGTCCCAGCTAAGCGTGCAAAGAGCGAACACTAAACCTCTGAAGTCACGGTGGGGAGATGGCATCTGGACTTTAGCACACACAGGTAGACAAAACCACACCACGCAACATGCCTGGCCGTCCCAAAACTGCCAGTGCGTGATGGGGAGTCGGGCTGGAAAACCAGGGGTCCCGGGTTCTAGTCCTCATGTCCCCATGAAGCTCACAAGGTAACTTGGGACCCTTTGACCACACGATGGTTGTGGTTTTGTG